CATCTCCATCAGTTTTGTTTCTTGTACCAATGTTTGGCTTTTCCCTTCTCAATAAGTCTTTGATAGCTCTTATTTTCCTCGCACTCCCAAGTCCTCTTACATTCCAACTGATTATTTTCATAATGTCTGCTCAAGAAATGACCCTATTAACCTGATCAGCCTCAAGTTTTGTTTTCTCCTTCTTTCACCCCTTCCACTAAACTCAATATCAGCTTCAACATCCGACCTTAACCTTTCCACTTCTGACTTTTTCTTCCTCCTCATTTTCTTCTTTTCTTCACTTTTCCTACGATAGACCTTTATCTTATCCGTTCCATTCTCCTGGACGAATCCTGGCTCTAACTCCTCATCACCCTGAACCTCTAATTCTTCTTCTTCCCTTTGTCTGGATAAAATTGACTTACCCCTATCTTCTCTTTCCATTTCTTTCTTCTTTAGACCATCAAATTCATCCCAGATCAACTTCCAGATTCTATCAGCCTCCCCATTTTGCATTGTTTTTCTTTCCATTCCCCTTCCTTCCTCCACCCCTAACATACTAATCCCCTTCAAGACTTCATCATCTGGTTGGGAAGCAGGTGAGGGAGCTACTGTATCTGTACCAAGCACCGGAAAACTATTAGTACCAAAACCAGAATTGACAATAATACCTGGCATGGGAGGTTCAGGATGATTCTCTGAAGCAGAAAACGCACAATAGGAGGTTCTGAAGGGAGAGCCTTTTGTTGGTAAGTAGAGCCAGGAATCGGACTGTGAATGAGTGGACCTTCTCCATGCTCTTCCATATCTAGCAAATCAGATTTCCTTCCAGAGAATGGAGTTGAAACCTCTTTACTAGGTTCCAGAGCTGACTGCAATTTCAGCTTTGAGTCTATCTTGTTGATAAACGCAAACTTCCCTACTTCAGCTAAAGGTATCTTCACCCACTCTGTCATACTAGCTTCGGCCTCACCTACACTAACGTTTGTCACATCTTTCCATAAATAGGAGCTCCATATGGAATCTCTCCTTCTCAATCAGTTGCAAGGTTTTGTCTACCTCACTGCCTAAGTTGGAAGATTCATATGACTCTACATCACTTTCTTCCTCACTTTCCTCCTCCAAAGCTTCAACCAACAGCTCTTCGATGGAGGCTTTTTGAACTTTGGATTTCTTCGTTCAGCCGAGCAGACCGGATTCCCTTTGCTTGGAATCCAAACCTAAGTCGAGAGTTCCGCCTGGCTGTGTCGTGTAGAGTTCACAAGGTTAGGGCCAATTGATGGGGACGATGATAGACCAGTGTTACAATCCATCATCGCCCCAATAGTCTTAGCTCGGGCTTTTAAAGGCCAGTCCACCTTTTCCTCCCATGTGATCACTTAAGGGTTCATGTGTTGGGTCCTTAAGACCTGTATCAATTCGGTTTAGGTCCATGAGCCGAGCATGGGCTTGTTTAGCTCCTAGCCTGGTTCCAGTCTCTTTTGAATAAAGACCGTTGCCCGCCACCTCATTGCTCATTAAACCATTTGTCAGAGCCTGCATAAAAGTTCTGCCATCTGCCTTCCTCTCTTCTATTCCCAAGCTTCTAAAATGGCCGTTTGACCATGTCTAGCCGAAAAGGTGTAAAACATCTTCTCTTGCGCCCCACGTAAAGCTACAAGCTTTGTCTCTTCGTCTTCCTCCCTTCTCCCCTGCCTCCACAGCTGCACTTCAATGGAGCTCACCAGCCATACTGAGTAGGAGTAACCTTCGATTACCACCTCCACTCAGCTTCAAGGCCACTGAATGGAGATTGAAACCGAAAATACCATCTAACTGGGCATTGCAAATTGGGGCTATTGACTGAAATAGTGCTTCTTGATTGGTTTGATTTTAAGAAAAATCTTAAACAATTATTTCTCAAGTATTAAATTAACCTTTTAACTGGTTCCCCAAAATCACAAAACCAGATCATTAAAAAATAACTAATATCTCCACTAATTATCAACTGTTACCCAAATACCCATACAAGAGTGTCAAATCATATTAGATACTTCAACTTTTACTAAAAATTTTGTATTTGATACTGTATCCAGCCATGTCCTTGTCATATCTAAGTCATATAGATTTTTTTATCAGTAAGCATGAATTTTATTTAAATTTCAGGTTGGAAATAGTTTATATAACTTGGTGATGGGAGTGATGAACACATTTAATCACTCTTTTCTGTCCCTCATTACAAAGCAGCCCAAAATAAGTGTTGTCTCAATGCCCCTTGTTTTGCTAGATAATCATCTAGCCCATTTGCACTCTTTCGAACCCATTTAAATTCAGCCTCAACCTCCTTTGCGATCTTTTCCACTTCCCTAATCACATGTTTAAACGTCCACGGGGTATGGCTACTGTTTGTAGCCCAGGGAATGACCACTTTTGACTCCTCTTCCACTAGGGGTGTTCACGGTTCGGTTAACCGAACCATGGGGCGTTTTTTGTAACCGAACCAGTAGTACCGGTTTTCCAAAAACCGGTAACCGAAAGTGGTTAATCATTGGTTTGGTTCATTGGTTTTTCGATTTTTTAATTTTTACAATATAATATAAAAATATATAATAAAATATTATAAATATATATTTATATATAATGCATATTTATTAATTTATAATATATAAAAAATATAAAATATCTATAATATACATAAATATATAGAAATATATATACCGATCGGTTTGGTTAACCGCCGATTTTCAGTATTGGTTAACCAAAACCGAACCGGTACCTTCGGTTTTTTAAAAACACCAAACCGAAACTGATTTTTCGGTTTAGTTTTGGTAGATTCAGTTTTTCGTTTTTTTTTTTTTTTTTGCTCACTCCTACCTTCCACTTCAATATGCATGTATCCCATCTGTTTAGCTAGCTTCAGCCCTTGTAGTAATGCCAAAAGTTCAGCCTTCAGTGAATTCCCCGTGCCAATCGGTCCTGAGAATATAGCTAGTATCTGCCTTTCAGAATTTCTGATTACTCCTCCTATACCTGAAAGTCCCGGATTTCCAAGGGAGCTCCCATCAAAATTCAGTTTCACTTTATTTCCTTGTGGTGGTTTCCACTCCAGACTTACTTTGTCACTCACTTTCAGGGGAATAGGCTTGAACCAGATTTCCTTAATGGGGACATCCCCAACTAGAGGGTTGGGGGATGCAAGTACTCTGAAGAACGAAGAGCAAGAGAAGAGTCCACCTAAAGAGCTTACCCAAATTCTAGAGTCTTTCAGCAACAAGTCCAAGTGGATTTGCCCTAAAAGGTCCAACAAACAGATTAAAGACTCACACTCATTTTCCCTTAGTCCCCTTCTAAAGCCTAAGTAACATAGATTATTAGCCAACAAAATAGGAACTATATCCCAAACAATATGAGGGTACCTCAAAAGGAGTTGGTGCTAAGATAGAGAGGGAAAAAAAGGTGGGTACTTGGTTAAGGCTTAAAGGGTGACTGGTGGGATGGGCTTAGCACCTATGATAAGGGCTATAGCATGGGCTTGGGCTCGAGCTAGGATTTGTGCCTAAGTCACTAACTAAATTTTCTAGCCAGCCATAGTTGACATGATCAATGAGTTTGATAGATCATTGCCATCCATCTTACAGTTCTCACTTACCAAGAAAATCATTTAGAATATAGAAAATAAATGATTTTTTATTTTCAATTTTTCCTAAAAACTAAGAAAAGCATCATTTTTGGCATAAATTATTGTTAGATCAATGAGTTTAAAAGATTCATTGATAGATCCATTTATAGTTCTTTCCTGCAAGGAAAATCATTTAAAACATATAAAAAATCATTAATAATTTTATACAATTTTCTATAGGGTGTTGGTACAGCTTATAGAAATTGTCAAAAAAAAAAATCAGATGGATCAGCTTTTTAGACTTATGCCGGCAGTCATGGAGCTATGGCAGTGGTCAAGAGTCAAGACCACCACTATAACCTTTAGGGTAGAACATATCATTTTCCACCTGTTTCACATATCTGCACCTTTGAATACAGATACGATACATCGTCTATTGGGCATATCATGTCAATATTTTAAACATTGGTTCCATCCTTATGGAGGAACCTATAAAAGTTGGAAACAAAACTTGATTTTTTGTAATTTTGTTTGTATATTCACATGTTTGTGTGTATGCCTTGGAAGAAGGTATCAGCTAGCTTTCAGAAAAAGTCTCTGACTGAGTGCAATAGAGACTTGGGATGATATCTTACCTTTACCAAGGTCTGGAGGGGGGTTTGGGGGAGGGTTTCCACCCATCATGTTTTCCAACCAAAGAAAAAAGACTGGAAAGATACCCCATTAGGGTGAAATATGATAAGAACATTTTTTCATGTGTTTCAGCTGAGTTCAAGAATAAATTAGGAGTGTCACCTCTTCCCTATCTTCCCTCATCACTAGGCCAGTCAATGATACCCGAAAGTCCATGGCCTGATCCAACATCCGATCCTATTATCTCAGATTTGGATGATGTGTTTATGTAATTGGATCGGATTCGGATTTTGCAATCCACATCTGTTTAATAATCAGATTGGATTCAGATTTGACACCATCCGATCTGATTAAAATCCGAATCCAATTATATTATAATATTTATTGATTTAAATATATAAATTTTATATAATTATATTTAAAATTATAAAAATACGTTTTTATATACTATATATATATATATATATATATAAATTCAGTATGTTATATTTAGATTAATTTATTATATATAAAGTTGAAAAGTAGTTAACTTTTTAATTTTTTTGTATTTTAAAAAATTAAAGCGGAGTTGGATTAAATCCAAATCTGATCCAAGTTCATTAGAATTCAAATTCAAATCTGAGGTCTTCAAATCTGATCAGATTCAGATGCAAGTTTTCAATAATTGGACCGGATTCAGATTTTGTTGAATCCAATCTGATCACAGCCCTACGACGTATTCCACATCAAATTAAAAAATAAAAATTAAAAACAAAAAGGATGAATAAGCAAGTCCCAAAAGTTTTAGTACCTCATTGCCATTTCCTGATTTTCCTTTGCCACCAAGCATGCAGACAGTTGTGCACCTCTGGTAGCTAGATGTATTAAAAGCTATCTTGGGACATTTAATATGAAGCTGAAGTGCATATGTTGGAGAGGTACGTAACCCTGAAGCAGTCAGGCAATGAGCTGCAGAAATATATGTGGCATTCACAAGTGGCGCGCAAGCAGTGAGTTGAAAGGAGCTCATCCTTAAGTTGAAAGTTCAGTTCTCTTTTCGAATTTGACAATACACTAAGCTCAGATCCCAAATTTATATAATTCCAATATCACCCTGCACATTCTATTGACAATAAGACAATGCTCAACTTTGATACCAGATCCATATGAGCAAGTTACTTTTATGCAAAGTACTACTTTGACAGGTGCTAAAATATTTGTTGAAGTCACTAAGAAGTCTTCAAGGGTTGACAAGGGAATTTCCCTCATTGAATGCTTTTCCAGAACCCCCAGCAAGAATCATGAACATTCCACATTCAAAAAAAAAAAACTTTCAATAGTTTAATTGAATCATAGAATTCTGCAATATCATAAATGTAAGGTAAGTGAAATCCTTCTTTTTCTTTCATTCGGGTTAAGATCCAACACTTTTTGGTGGTCTGGACATGAATTAGTATTAAGCAAAGCTGATATTCATTTAACTTTCAGCAGAAATGCAAGGACACTACTTCCACAAATAGCTACGCTCAGTCAGAATTGTTTCAGCAACACCAGAAGGCACAACATCTATTTGACTTGGGCAACTAAGCTGTTATATTGGTTGTGTGGTGTATTTCTCTATTTTCTTTCATGTGCTTCTTAATGATTTCTTAGCCTTAATTCTTGGTTTTTCTTTCCTTGAAGTTATACTATAATGAGGCAGGGCCTGTTTATTCTTGGTCAAAAATCTGAGGACCAGTTTGATTGACCTTCTCTTTGTTAATACATCTTTAATCTTGATATTTATATTCTTTAATGAAAGACATAGAGGTGAGATTTCCAACTATAAGAAATGTTATGACTTTTAAATGCATCTCTTAAAGTAAATGGGGGAGAGTCCTCACAACAATAGGGACAATCCCCACAACGACTAGAAGACAATAGTCTATTTGTTTAACAATAAATGAATAAAGTAGTATCTATGCACACAGGTCACTCAATTTTATAGCAGAAGTAGTTGGCTTAAAACTGTTCCATGGTACAACAAATTGGCCTTGTGTGAATCTATGTCCTCTTTTAATTGGCTGATACCCCCACCTCTGTTGATGAGATGAACGTTGACACCTTACACCAGTGCATTTACTTTATGCAAGTTTTGAATCGGTAAAATGCATCTAGGTTCAGATGATTTCAGCTAAAACATGCTAGTTGTTCTTGACTATGCCTACTTTTATTTCCAATTTCTGTTATGTTCAGAGCTTTGACTAACATGGTTTTCAAAACCGGACCAGACCGGATGGTCAGACCGGAAAACCGAGAACCGGTCAGGTGACCAGTTCTGTTTTTCCCAAAACCGGATATTTGCAAAAAACATTGATTTGGTCAGAAAACCGCTGACCCAGACGGTTGAACCATTCAAACCGTTCAACGGTTTTGACCGTTTATTTTATTTTTTATTTTTGTCAGAACGGGCCGACCATTCGTACCGAATGGTCGGACTGTTCGACCTGGGAACCAGACCCCTGACTGGTTTGTTCTCCGAGTCAGTTTTAAAAACCTTGGATAAAAATTCCATTCTCCAAAATTCAGAGAAGTCATCTCTTAGTTGGACAAACTTCTCTAGTTCTCTTCATCTGCAATTACTTGCATTAGGTGTACAGATGATCTACTATCCTACCAATGGCATTCAATTGTAGTTTCATGCATTAGGTGTGTTCCCTATTTCCTTCTTTGAAAATGCATCTCTAAAATTTGAGGATGATCTGATTCCCTTCTCAAAATTTCGTCCAACTTTTGATGTATCTCCAAAATTTGAGGATGCACCCGATCATCAAAATGGAATTCATGAACAATCCCACCAATCTCAATCCAGCTACAACCAGGGTTATAGTAACTCCTGTTTTCACTCATTACCTTCCTCATTTCTATTAAGTCCTTCCTATTGACCTAGAGATGAATACAAATTTGACAGAACACACGACCTCCAACATGACCAATAGGATCAATTTGGATATGTAATCTCTAAACTATGATCTACCCTCCAAGACTAGCATCACCATGGATTCTGCAAGCGCTAAACAGAACCCTCCAAATAACACAAGAACGGGTGTACTAAAAACAATTTAGCAGCAAGCAACCCACAAAAACTAATATAAAAAATAACAGTAACAGAGATCAATATGCTTGTGCGCATGCATTTTTTGTTCATGATCAATATAGCATATTAAAAAAGTAATATTTAACAAAAAGAGAGATCAATATAGTTTAAAGCAATCCACAAAAAACAACACAAAAATTCATCAAAAAAAAAAAAAAACAAATAATGAGGTTTGCCACGCTATTCATTGTCGAATGATGGTATTTGTGGCTGTTTGGTTGCGGTTAACACCTGAGAACGAACACGGTACACCGTTGGTCGTCTATCAGTTAGGGAAGAAAGAAAACTCAAGGGGTTTTCGCCATTGGTCGGGTGAACTGGCACAAAACCAATTATGGAAAAACAATAACAAGAAAAACGATGCAAAAATGGTTTGAATCTTACCGGTAAAAGTGAGAGTTTCGTTGTTGAGAGTGGAACTGTGGAATCGAGGAAGAGCACTGGTAAGTGGCTAAGGTCTCCAGGCACAGAGGCTCCAATGTATGTGACGATAGTCTTGGGGTTTGCTTCTATTTTCTTCATGAAATGACCCTTTTGGCCCCCATCTCGCGTGTGCGGGCAAGTACACGTGCACATTTTGAAGGTGCTTTTTTTGGTTTTTGGAAATTTGTCTAAAACTCACCGTTACTTTTTAAAACTCGCCTTCTGTTAATGCACTATTAATGCTTCTTAATAGAGGTATCCATGTCAGCATAAATAATAATTTTTATGATCAAATTACCCTTGAATGGCGAGTTAGAGGAAAAATAGTCTTTTTTGGTTTTCAATTTTCTTGCTTTTTTGCATTTTTAGTGTTTTGTTATAATTTCTAATATTTTTTATAATTTCTATTTTCTACAATCTATAAATTTTTCTGTATTTTTTGTCATTTATTTGTAATTTTTGTGTTTTTCTATAATTTGGAAATAATTTTTTATTTTGTTTACAATTTCTATATTTTTTTATATTTTTGTAATTTCTATGTTTTTGTGTAATTTATATTTGAAAATATTTTTTGAACTTTTTCCTTTTCTTTATGGCTAAATATTAAAATGGAAATATATTAACACACGTTAATTTATTTTGTATATATTTTATATTTTTCTATAAAGTTTAACGTCAAGTTAGTTTCATGGTGAATTTTAGACAATTTTCCTTTGTTTTATTTTATTTTTATTTATTATTATTATTTATTTTTTGTATTCTAATCTCCCCTTACCCCTTTTTTTTCCCAAAGGTGATGGTTACAAAATTAGATCAATGCTGGAACAAACCCGCTAATACACCAACAAGCGACCTCTCAGTTGGTTGACCTGAAAGAGAACCGCTTTGAGTCTTTGACTTCTGGTTTCTAGGTCATTAGTTCAGCCGTCTGCTTTGTTTCTGACATCCCATATGAACCAGAATACAATAGCAACCTTCTCCAATGTCTCTCTGCCTATTCAGATTTGGGCAATGTTTCTAACAATTTTTTGTTGTCACTCTATAATGATATTCAGATGGAAAGACAATCAAATTGCTCTTGCATAATTGCAGAGGCTTAGTTTGGAATGAGTACAAATATAAATATGTAGAGTGTAAAATCTTGTACTTTATATTATTTTGTATCTATTTGCACTCACACATTTGTATTTATACTCTTTCCAAACTGAATCAGAAGAAGAAATTAAAAATCCCAATTTCTTTTAAAGAAGCTTTGCAATCAATTAAAGAGATTGACAACATTAATCATCATTAATTGATAGGTTAAGGCATTTTTTGCATTATAAAAATCACTAAGAATTTGTTTGTGAGAAATACAACTTTCTAACATAGCATAGGTAGAATTCCATCTATGATTAGCATCTAATATAAAATGTTTACATTTTAAACCATAATTTTGACATAAATATTTAAATTCTTGTTTTCTTGCTTTAAAACTTTTAATATATTAATACAATTTCTAATTTTAGAAATATGAGTAGAAATAATATTTAAAGCATACTGAATAATATCAGCACATCTGATATGAAATAATTTATCATTTAAACATGATTTTAATTGAAGTTTTAAAATATTTACTACTGAGTCATTATTATTAGCATTATCAAAACTAATAGAAAATAATTATTGTCAATTGTATAAGCATGTAAAGTATTTAAAATACTTAAAGCAATAGTTGGGCTAGTATGTATTCAAGCCTAGTAAAACTTAACATTCTTTTTATTTAAAAGCCAATTTTCATCTATAAAATGACTGGTAACACAAATATAACTTATGTTAAATTTAGAAGTCCAAATATCAGAAGTAATTGCAAATTCAGAATTAAGATTTGATAACATATAAATTAATTTTTTTATATGAATAATAAATTTTTAAAGCATTTGATCTAATAGTATTCTTATAAACTTTTTAAAATTGTGGATTTATAGAATTACGTAACCATTTTTCAAGTTTAGTATCTTCAACTAACAAAAATGGTTGTTCAGCATGTACAATATATTTTGATAATTCTTGTCTCATTTTTTCTTAAAAATATTTAAAAGTACCAAACCCCCCCGCCCGATTTGTATTTATGTTTGTTTCTCTCCCTTCTTCTTCATGGGTGAGCAAATGTCTGTCTAAATGGCCAGTACCACCCTTGCTACAATAGCTAAAGTCTTTCCTACATTTTTGGCAAACAACTCTTTTTCCCTTCCCCTGAACATCTTCTATTTTAAATATTTTTCAAACCAGGCTAATCAACTTAGTGACCTTCTTTTTCTTTCCCCTAGTATTAGTACTAGGGGTGGAAGTTCCGTCAATATCAATAGCATCCATATTGGTGCTAACACTACCATGGTGCGATTGAATATCCTCGACATTGAACATGTTGGGGAATTGGTTTTAGGAGGAGCCATCCATTTTCTGAAATCCTAAAAAAGATAAAAATTAATTTAATTGCACTTACCCAAATTGCCGGTTCGAAATTCCAACTTGATTTCAACAATTGAAGCCTTTTAACTCCAAGAGTCCAAGCCTTCCAAATTACTAACTTGAGATGATGTGATTGAATATCCTTGACATTGAACATGTTGGAGAATTGGTTTTAGGAGGAGCCATCCATTTTTTGAAATCCTAAAAAAAATAAAAATTAGTTTAATTGCACTTACCCAAATTGCCGGTTCGAAATTCCAACTTGATTTCAACAATTGAAGCCTTTCAACTCCAAGAGTCCAAGCCTTCCAAATTACTAACTTGAGATACTTGAGTTGTTGAGTAATAATTCTTCTTATTAAAACTTCAATAAAGTTAGAGAATCAAAGAATGTATGAGATATTGAGAGATTGAGACTTGAGAGAGTATGAGAACTAGAGAAGAGATTAAGAGAATTGTTGAATTGGTGTGATGAGAATAGTGGAGGATAGGTCTATTTATAGGAATTGAAAATAATTCAATTGCCCAAAATACCCTAAAAACTAGTCATTTTTTAGTTGTTGGGAGGGGTATTTTGGTTATTTTAAAGCTATTTATCACTTTACCCAAAATGCCCCCAAACTAACTATTATATAGTTATTGGAGGCATTTGTGTCATTCTTTCTCCCCCAAAATCAAAAGACATTAATACCCCCTATATAGTTGTTGGGAGGGTATTTCTGTAAAAACCCCAAAAAGCTGACCCCCAACAACTAGTTCATCGGGCGGACCGAATGTAGCCCGTAGGCTGTCTTATTGGCCTATGGACCTAGAACCCCAAGCCCAGCATGGCCTGGACCATCGTGTTGGGTCTAACATGGTCTGCATGCCATCATGTCGTGTTTTGCCGGGCTAGTCCAAATTTGGGGCGACATAACCCCATTTACACTTCTACTTTTGGGGAGAGAGAGATGGGACTAAATTTGCTTTTGGCTTTTCAAAATTAATTTGGTAATTGTTTAGATTTTGAAGTTATGACCTAAACTTTTAGAATTTAGAGCTTAGAGAAACCTAGTTTTTTACCATAAAAAAGAAAATTCTTTGTAGAATCTCCAAATATGAACCAAAGATTTGGAATCCAAGAGGCTAAGTATGTTTGTAGGAGGATATTAACACCCTACACATACGGGTGTAAATGGACCGATTTTGGGTTGGACTCTATCCAATGGACGGATTGGACAGACCAATAAGACATATTGAATTTGGATGGACTGAACAGACCAATATGACATATTGGATTGGACCTGTTCCATCCATAATGAATTTATATTGGATTGAGCCAATATCTAGTCCATTGATAGAGATAAGAATATAGGTATCAATGGACCAGATTTGAGTTGAAACCAATATAAATTAATAGGAATTTGAACAGATTGTTCTGGACTGGTCCAAAATATTTATTGGATTGGATTGGACCAGGTCCATTTAACACCCCCCAACCCCTGGTGGCAGTGGGATTTGATCCCAGGCTTGAAATTTTAAAATACACAAGTAGAAGACCCAATAAGGTCCGAAGAACAAGAATAGTTATCGGTTTGGTGTAACTTGAATTAATAGGGTTGAGGTATCCTTATCCACAAGGGGCCGGGTTGGCCATTTGTCACTTTCACAATTAATCTACTGGAGCAATTTTAGAGCTTGGCCAACTCCCAAGTCTATTTATTTAATTATTTCATATTTCTTTTGTTCCCAAGTCTATTTATTTAATTAATTCATATTTCTTTTGTTGCTTTATGTATAAACTAGCTATGCCTACAATGCCCATGTTCATTAGGTTGGTTGAATCGATCATCTCATGGAACCATATATTGACTAGGGAAATTCTCTGCATGCAGCTTATGGATATATAGATGTGATTGAAAGACTTTTCTAGCTAGACTCTATAGGAGATTCCATGGAGGGTTGGAAATAAGATATGCAATGGTCAATTGACTTTTTTCATACTAACAAATTAAAAGTCCTCCAGACCTCCCAACGCTAAGATGATGCAAATGAGCAGAGTAACCAAATCTGACTGCCTTCTTCTCCTTGTTGGATTTTGTTTCAAATAAAAATCTGAAATCATATGTTAGGTTATTGATATATCGAGAATAGACCTGTTCACGGGTCGGATACCCCGATGGCCTAGATGTACTTTGGTCGGGCTTGGACATGTAGTTAGAGGCTTGCGGGCTTGACCTTGGGCCCAAAACACCAAGCTCAATTGTGTTTCAGGCCCGGCTTGGGATTTGTCAAAAATGCCTGGCCCAAGCCCAGCCTGGCTCGACTAATTTATATAATATTTATTATAATACATATTAATAATTTAATATACATTTTTTTTTCTTTATAATTTCTTTCTCTCTCTCTCTCTCTCTTTGTTCAGCTATTTCAACATTAGCAATGACATGAGCTTTAGACTTCGGGCTCGGGCCCAAGCCTGGACTTCGGGCTTTTTATGAGGGTCGGGCTTGGGCTCAAGTTGTAGGCCCGATTGTTGGGCTGGGCTCGGGCTCAGGCCTTAAAAAATCTGTTAATGAAGAGTGAAAGCCTAGCCCAGCCTGGCCCATGAACAGGTCTAATCAAGAAGTGAA